AGACATGGCTGCTGATAGGTGACTTTAATAGTATGTTGTCTGTGGATGATAGAATTAACGGACGACCAGTTCAACAAGCAAAACTAGTGGACTTTCAGAAATGTATTCTTGACATTGGAGTGGGTCAGTTGAACAGAAAGGAAGTAAATGGTCTTGGTGTAATAAGTGGAATGCAAATGATAGGATATATAGTAACATAGACTGGGCATTTAGAAATGCTGCTTGGTAGACAAAGTATAGTGATGTAGAAGCTATTTTTGAAAGTCCAGGTGTCTCTGATCATTCTCCTATTGTGATTAACACATTGGTAGTCAAGTCTTAAACATAGGATACATAGCTATTATATAAAAGGTAAAGGGATCATGTCAATTCAAACTCTTAAACAAGCATGTTGGCTGATTAGAAAGATATTTGATACCAGAGAATGGTTGGTTAAATAGGATCCAAATATTGACCTGGGCAAGTATTGCAGCAAAGGGAAGTTGAGTATAAAGAAACTATATGTTGCAATAATGCCCCAATATCCTAAATGCAGTTGGAAAAAGGTAACAAATGGGTCAAAGGCTTTGCCAAGACATCAATTTATTCAGTGATTGGCTATGCATAGGAGGCTCACAACAGTTGACAGATTGAGAAACTGGGGCATATCAGTAACTACTGACTGTGTGCTGTGTGAGAAAGCTGTTGAAGAAACAATGGATCATCTATACTTTGAATGTGAATACTCCAGACATTTATGGGTTACTTGTTAAAATGGATGGGGGAAACACACACCATAGGGAGCTGGGATGCTGAAACAAAATGGCTAGCAAAGAGAAGTTCGAGCAGAGCTAAATCACAAATGATAAGATTCCTATATGCAGTTGTTATATATCATGTTTGGGCGAAGAGGAATCAACGGAGATTTCAAAACAAGAAGTTAACAAGCTATCAAAGAATGAAGACTATTATATTAGAGCTTCATACAAGAGGGCAGAAAGAAGTCAAATGGCAAAAGGAGCTGGACAAGTTGAACTACTATCCTAGTTAGAGAAGTATGAAATGTACAGCAAGAGTTAGACAATGGTAGAAAATAGAGATTACTAAAAGATTTTTCTTTTTATGTAGGAGAAACTAGTTCAAGAGTCCCAAAGAACTAGTGAGATGTAAATATTATACTTAGTTGAATGAAAATTTGATAGTTTGATAAAAAAAAATAAGTGAGAAAGAACAAGAAAAAAGCACTAAGAACTTAAATAAATAAAGCTCATAAAATTATCTTCATATATATATATATATATATATTTCTTTATTTCTTGTGTTTGTGTCCTATTTTAATTATTGACGGAATTACATAATAATACACTCCACAAGTTAACTTTTTAATCGGATGACCTAAATTTAAGTTTACAAATATGTAGCCCAAATATTATTAGGCTCAGACCTGAAAAAACCTTGATGCCCTTTTTATCTGACGCAAATTTTTCATGGTTTTTTGTTCTATTTCATACCCAAGTTCATACATTCCTATCCCAGCTATAAACATACAAAAAACAGGCCTAAAATCTCTTATTTTTCAATTTCTATATAGAGATGAATTTGCTCCAAAGTTTCTAATTTGACAGAAAACTCAACAAGAAAAGAAAAATTTGAAAATTCATCATTTAATAGAGAAATCAACGGAAAAATTAACTTTATAAATAAATTGTCAGATAAAAATGCAAAAATTCTATTTTCAGTTTTAACTGCATCTGTACAATAATGTATATTGATGTATAAATTTGTATAAACTTGTATATGAGATGTTGAATAATGTATACCAGTATTTTGCTGGCAAAAAAAAAAAGAAGCAAATTCGCTGTTAATAAGAAACATAGAGAATACGAAGTAAAAGCAAAAAGAAAAATCTAAACAAAAAGTAACCAAAACAAAAGCAAAAGAGGACTAGAAAAACCAAAAATAAAAAACCTGCAACAAACCTAAAATTACTATCATGAAAGAGAAACTTACTTCAAAGAAAAGATCAATGTTGTATACAATATTTTCACACCCAATATACAATATTATACAATATTATAATTTTGTATAATATTGTATAATGATGTAAAACGGTGCATACAAAACTGAATTTCATCTTGACCTACCTTCTTCAACTAGTATGGTTCCCAAAACCAATGTTAATCAAACACAGCTAACCCAACACTCAAGATTCTTATCATTACAAGCTTTTACAATAATTTTTAACTTAACCCATTACTTTAGAGTTAGATTTTTCAAATCTGAATTGAACTTAGAGCTTCAAAGCTTCTTCAATGTAGTTTAGAATATGGATGCAACAAAACTTCAATTTTAAATTTGGACACACATAAATCGAGATTCTATATTTGAGATCCATAAAAGTTTATGAAGATTAAGCAATTTAGTAGAGAAAATGCTATAAATTAAGTTTGAGTTCTACAAATATTCAGATCTATGTGAGTGAGAGAAGAGAAAGAAAGGAGAAAGCAAAAAGAGGTTGGTTGAGAGTATACAGTGTGCTAGGGGAAATAAAAATAAAGAAAACCTAAAAGTGTGTTTGTAATAGTGGCTAAAGGCAATTTTCTTTCAGATTATGACATTATGTACAACCTGGGCTAAACTAGGTAAGTACTTCAAACATGAGCCATTTTCTGTTGGGCTGTTAGGTAGGGGTGTCAATGGATATTCGAAAATCGATTAAACCGACCTAACTGTACTGCATCGAACCGATTTTTAAGTTTCTTTTTAAGAAATTGTAGGCTTTTATATAAATCTATAACCGCACCGATAGTAAGGGTAGGTTTTTTATTTTATAAAAATAAATCGAAAAATACCGAACCGTACCGAATAAATTTTATATGTGGAAAATATATTTATATAGTAAGTTTAAAAATAATAATGCATTAAATTTTCTTTGGGCCTTGGAACTATGAAAACTATTACAAGCCAATAAGTAATTAAACTCAAAATACTAATTCCAAAACCTATTATGCTACTTCTACTTAAACTAAGTTATTTCAAGTATCTTTATTAGTAAGATGCAAAGTATTCTAGCGATTATGAGTAGCAAACTACAATGTATTTAATATGTTTCCTTTCATATAATTTAGATTTATCTTTCTGAATATTTAATCTTCTATAGACTTTATTCTTGAGTTCCAGCTTGGTATATCTTTCAACTCGTATAATTTATATTTTCTTTGCCTTTGTTTGATTTCTTTTACGTTGTTGTAGAATAGCTGATGGATCTATACTCTAGCCATCTTTCTTTTCTTTTTTTTAATTCATCACTCTTTAAATAGTAAAAATGTCTAGAGAGTTTTGCTAAGTCCTATAAAAGAACCTATGTTTTTGTATTCTACTTCTATTGGTAAATTTTACATAATATTAAAAAAAATTACCGAAAATTAACTGAATCGTACCGATACCGAAGAGAAACCGACATGATTGGGACGGTTTCGAAAAGTCTAATTTTAATTTTACATAATAGAATAACCGAAAAATTAGCATGATACAAATTTTATAAAATAACCGGCCGAACCAAACCATTAACGCCCCTACAATTAAGCCAAGTGACAAGGGCTGAAATTATCGCTTTATTGTTTGTGCCTTGTGTTTGTTATTCATGTTATGCCATTTTTGAATAGTCTCCATTTCATGCTCACTTGGACCTTGTTCTGTGGTTCTTGATTTTGGAATTCTTACAACGATTCTTTGTAATTATGATCATCGGCAACTTTTCTGCCAAATATCAAAGATAAATTTAAAATTTGAATTCTATAAGTTCGAACTCCAAATTCTATCATAATTCATTTGATTCACTAAATCCACCGAGAGATTAAATTGAATACTTATTCTCAATTTCTCATAATATAGTTGCATCCTTTAATGCTCGATCCTCAATTTTTCTTCCTTTTTGGACTTCTCAATTAGTGTTAATCTTGTCATTTGGACTCATATACCAACGTAAAATGACTTTTGTCCCTCTTAACAATATATTATGTATATTATCCTTTGATCACACACAAAAATAATATATACAAAATGACAAAGTTGGTGTTGGTTCTTCAAAGGTTTATTTAATTATTTTTTAATATAAAACATTTCACAAGTGTTCTTTTTCAAAATCTTCTTTGTTCCACTGAATAATTTCTTGGTCAAAATTCCCTTTTAATAAATTTCCCCAGTATTTTAGTTCTAATTCTGCAATAAATCAAAGGAAATTAAAAAAATTCAAAAAGTACATAAAAAGAAAAAGAGAAGTAAGAAATGGAGAAAATTGCAAAAATGATCGTCTTCCTTTTGGGTATGTTTAAAAGAAACTTTTTAAATATACGTTCGAGGTGCGATTTTATTAAAAAAAGGAGCAATTTTAGTTTTCATTAAAAGCGTATTTGGCCATGATTTTTTTTTCGATTTTTTTTCAAAATAAGTGTTTAGCCATAAAATTTTTAATTTTCACGCGGAGATGAATTTTGAACATTTTCAAAAATTTGAAAAACTTCCAAAAGACGTTTTTTCAAAATTTTTCACTCAGATTACTCCAAAAAAAATAAAAATAACACAAAATTATATTTATGTTTAAACCCAATTTAAATTTTCAAATACAAATTTTTACTTAAAAAAATTAATTTATTTTTCGGAATTTTACGATTCTTATGTCCAAATGCGCACTAAATTTTTTAACAAAGATCGAACATGAGCTCATATTTGAAGGTGCAATTTTGTAATTCTATTTTTTTTTTTGGATCTATTAATGTTGGTTTATTTATGATATCTAGAGCCATTTTTGTGTTTTTAATTTTTGAAATTTGGTGGAACTTTCTTATATTTTTCATTATTTTTCCTTCATAATTTGCATTAAATCTAGACAGCTAGAGCTTATTATATACTCCTATTTGACAAGGACCATTTTGTCATTTTGTGGTAAAGAAAGAAGGTGACTCTTTCTCTATCTTGATACTTGGGCATTTATATTTCACAAAAATTATAACCCCAAATTCCAAGAAATGTGTAGCATCATATCATAGCTACAAACAAGACAAATAGACCATAGAAGCCTATCATACAGCTACCTGCACATTCACATTTTTCAGACCAAAAACTAGAAGCTTAAGCCTCTTGCATATATACATTTGGCTATTTTTGAAAAAGCTGTTTTCACCCTGAGAAAAAGAAGATTTTCTGGTTAGTTTTTGCAATTCTCTTTTGCTGCCCTCTGTGTGTGTGTGTGCGCGTTGGTCTTTTTTT